TAGTAATTGCAAAATTTCAGTTTCCCGTGAGGGTGAACCGTCAAGAGGATCAAAGGCTGTTGAACATTCGATGGCGGTGTCATAGGCAAGAGTTGACGCTGGGCCATAAGTTTGTGAATTTTCATGTTCATGCGTAAAAGGTGTGTTTTGAGGGGGTGGAGGAATGAAGAGCTTGCTGGTTTCTTCGAACCGAAAGGAAGGGGAAGTAGCACAGGGTGTATTCGTGCCTAAGTCAGGTAGTTCCCGAGTGTTCAGGGTATCAAATTCTTGCAATTCAACGCAAGGAACTTCTAAATCGAATTCATCTTCTGTAGTATTAAACAATGGTAGGTAAGCTTTTCCATTATTGTTGGAAACTATAGCATTACCTATGTATACTCCGTCTATAGATTTTAGAGATGGTATGTAACCGACTTGTTTTTCAGGGTTGGAGACTATAACAGTGAATGGAACAGCTGTCCTTGGAGGGATGTGAATCGTTTCTCTTTTTACAAAAGGAATATTCATTGAGTCACACCGTAAACATTCATTTTTATAATCTATATTAGCATTGTGTAGTTTAAAAAAGGTGGATCCTAATATTCCGCGATTGGGAAAACCGAAATTATAAGGTGCTAAATGAAATTCAGTGGGTTTCCCGAGCAAAGTTATAGTAACGGATCCTAAAGTTTTAACTGGTTCGGGGGATATTCCTTGCATGGATAGAGTGTGGTTTGTATTCACTTGGAGATTTGAATTTATCACACTTGTTTTTATTATGTTTATGTCCGATCCGGAGTCTACAATAAAAGCACTGGGTCCCACTAAATCGTTGGAAGAAAGGATAACGGTGGGGCCACCGTCATGTGGTTTCGTGTTTACTCCGGCAGAGCGGAATTCGGATTCTCCGTCTGATCTTGAAAGTGGACATTGAGTTTTTGACGTCCTATATTCTCCGTGTCCCGGCGGACGTCTGTTGTCATCGGGGCACAAGAGGAGTTTCCCTGTTCCTCAGGTTTTTGCATGGTTCGATATTCGTTCTGGTAAGAATTTTTCTTGGCCAATTTCTGACAGTTGGCTATTATGTGTCCCTGTTCCTTGCAATATCTGCATGTCAATTGTGAAGGTGTATTGGGGCCGGGTTGTCCGGGTATTAAAGGTCTGATAAAGGGTGCACTTCGCTGGTGCTGTGGAAGGTTTTGCGATTGTGGAGTGAAAGAAGAAGGAAGAGGATTTGGAGGGGATTTGGGGTAAAAAGGGACGTCTTGTCGGGGAAGTGGGTTTGACCGTAGGGGGAAGGAAGTCTTACGTCTCATAGCCTCGGTCTCTAAAGTTTTTGAAAGTTGAATTGCTTTAGTAAAAGCGTCATCTAGGCTTTGGTAACCCTCCAATTTTACCCTGATGAGTAACTCGGACGGTAAGCCGTTAATAAAACTATCAAGCACGTCTCTATCGATATTGTCGTAGGCCCAATCATCAAAACGGGGGCCTTGAGCTATCTCACAATCTATAATAGCGGTCTTTAAATCTTTAATTCGGCCTATATAATCAAAAATTGACTCATTATGCTTCATAAACGCGTTTCCTAATTCTCCTCTATATTGGTTAAGGGATTTATTTGGCCCGAAGATTTGTTTTAATTTCCTCAATAATGGGAGAACTGATTTGTATTCTGTCCCTGCCACAGCTGTATAAGCATGCCCTTGTAGTTTGCTCAAGATTAATTGTGCCAAATATTGCTCGTGGTGTCGTGGAATTAAATCTAATGCCCTTTCACAAATGTTGCAGAACTGAAAGACGGACATACGCTGCCCATCATATTTAGGAATTGAATCAGCTACATCCTTTAGTCTAATGGGTGAGGATTCAAGGGTTCGAGGTTCAGTGGAAAAAAATTGAAAACTCTCAGCGGATGTAGTGGGAGCAGATTCTGGGGGTAAATGAGTATGTGTCTGTATAGTGTTTATGTGATCAGTGAGGGTTTGTATTTGTCGGGGTAAATCCATTAGTATATGTATTTCTCTTAATTGCTCTTGAAGTGTCGCAACCAAACCTTCTAGCCCTTGCGTGTTCGCTAAAAGGGATAACCTTTGCCTTTCCTTTTCTTTTTCTAATTCAGCAGCTATTTTATTGACCTCTATATTATGCGCTGCTACAACCTCAGCTTGTTCGCGTAGTATTCTTTCCCGTGCTTCTAGGTTTTGTGCGTATATTTCAGTTCCGGAAGTAGATGGGGTTTCCCCTGGTTCAGAAGATGTTTTACTGGAGGCGGATCGCGTGTTATATGCCATGATAGTAGGTTGAAGCAAGTGTGTAAATAGACGTCCAATAGTTCGTCTTGTTGTCAATGCTCAATGATATTACTCCCTCTTTGATAAATAAGCGCTATCCCACCGCTGCCACCAAAAAGTTAGCGTTGTAACGTCTCGTCTTTCCTAAGAGCGACGATAACGGTTGTCCTCTGTTTTATTTTAGGCCTACCTGCATTCACCGGCAATAGCCAGGGGCGCCGAGGACAATATCGAAAGAGAGAGGTATTCCAATATTATCTGCTTGTTTGGAGTTTGGAACAAGATGGTTATTCATTCAATAATGTGGTAGGCTAAATGTGCTGGATATATATATATATATGTATTTGTAGATTATATAAAAGCAACGGTCATACATAATATTCCTGAATAGAGATAGGTATATACGTGTGAAAGATATATGTCGGTTGAATAATAGCTTCCAATTCTAATGGTTAGATCTATTGCTCAAAAAGGGTGATACATTAGCAATGTAATAAGCCTTGTCCGCTTCGTTTTCTTGGTCAGAAAGGGTAATAGCTTCTATATCTGATTGTTCTCCAAAGGAACGAGGTCTAATATTTGTGGTGTTTTGGGTGTGCGCGTATGAGTAGTATGTTGACAAAGTGAGGCTAGCTTGGCTGGTTGTGTCCGTAAATGAAACCTGCCCTAATTCTGAGGACGAAATATCGCCCGTTGTACTTTGGTTACATAAGGTCGTCACATCCGAGATAGACCTATCGTATACATGTTTGAATGATTCTTTTAATTGTTCGTTTTCTATTTCCTTCGTTGAGCTTGCTGGTTCTGTCGCGTGATCTGATTTTAGTTGTTTGTTTTGTTCCTCTATCCACGCTCTAGTACGAGCTATTTTAACTAAGTTTCGCCTACGTACGGCGACTCCACTACGCTTTGGCATCTATTGGAGGGTTTGTTATCTTATTTCGAATATATTACTATAGAGGGTGATCCAGGTGCATTAATTTACTCACTGTTGGAGGATTGGATACAGGTGCAGTTATCCGCGTTGGAACAGTATCAGGTTGTTGGAGCTCTACCCCTTTGGAGCTACCAGGAAAGTCTGTGGAGAGAATGGAGCTCAATTATTAGAGCTGCCAGAAGGATTCTTAAAATTTAAATTCGTTCTAGAGCATCAACATGCGGGCAAAGCGGCCTGACATAGGAGCTCAACGACGCATGGAGCTGCCTGATTATGGCTCGACAATGCATGGTGCTACCAGATCCGATTTGTATGGAATGCAAAGGGAATGTTATCCTGAAGGGAGTTTCTGATAGATAAGTTGCGAGGAAACCGGGAGCTCGACAACGCTGGGAGCTGCCTGGTTAACAAGGATATTTTAGAGCAAATTAATGAAAATGGGTCCCTACTGCGTTACATGGCGTGTGCAATTAGGCAGAGTATATAAAAGCGTGATATATATATATTCAATAAATTATTTATGCTTTAAAAGGTTCCACCTTTCAGAGGTCAGCCAAACTAACCAATGACCTTTGTAATTGTCTGTTGTGTCAGCCCCTTGTACAAGGGAACGAGAAAATATTTTAAATCTATGATGCGTATAGAATAACTTACTTTTAACAATGTGGCGCCCGAAGGGGCGGTTAGTGAGAATAAGTGAAGGACCTTTAAATGGCGCGAGACTGTCTGTCAGCTTGGGACCTCCAGGAGCGACCGACTGGTTCGGCTATCGGGGACTGACTGACTCTCTGACTTCTCTATTCTCAACTCGTCAGGTCGGGGATATAGGTGTGGAGGGGAAAAGGCTCTGGTAGGGATATCCGCTTATGGGAGGATAGTAGAAAGAGAGAGAGAGAGTCGCTCGGAGATGATTTCATGCATGAGTTATCATGAATACTTCCGTTGTTATCTTTGTCCTTCACGTATTCTCTTACATATATTTTTACGCTGCGCATTCTTATAAATATCGATTAAGTGTTCTTGGATTGGTAGGTTAAATAACATTTTATGACGCTTATCTATTGAAGCTCCGCACGAACTTTTGCACACAATCAGTACATTTTGCTCCTTTTCTCGGTGTTCTATTCGTTTTTTCGGGAAAGTAAGTGTAATACTATTAGTTTTATTGCCGTTGCGCGTCACATGGCGTCGAGATAATCCATAGTTAATAATGTAAATTTTAGGGGAACGAAAAAATGTTTGGTGATTTTGTTAGCAAGAGGGATCATTGGTATCTCGAGGTGTTGTTACTTCAAAGACGAATACAGTGATATGCATTATGTTGGGTTTCTGGCTTGTAATAAATTTATTATATTTTTTGCAATTAATTATTATTAGCTGTTGATGTACTTCTTTTATGTGTTTTCTATCCGTTGTGTGAAACAGAATATTATGCGGGTAGCGTGATTTTTCGCGCTCTATTGGTTAAGCTGTTATTCATTTGTTAATTAGTGTATGTGTAATTTCGAACTGTTGATGAAATGTTAGAGGATTTTGTGTTCTGGAAAAGTTGTTTTATAATATTAAAGGAATTTTGTGGGCTTATTATAATGAGCATCTGTTATTTGTCATATTTGTTATAAACAATAACCTCAAATTTTAAATAATAACTAAAACGTTATTTCTCTTTATTTATGACTACACTCCGATATCTTTATGGTAAGGTGGATCCGCGGTGATTTGATTGTTATTTGTCTGATTGTTTAAATTAACAAATTAAAATATTGCAGCTACCTAATTTTCGAGTTCGGGGGTACCATATTAAGAGTGTCCGCTGTAATTTTATCGATAGTGAAAATTCAAAATTTGTTTGCAAAATTATTTTGTTTATTTATAATTTCGTCATTTTCATGCTCCAGGGGTGATATCAATATTGTTCCTGAGGTTTTTAAGACCAAAGAAAAATAATTTCCTTATTTTGCACTGATTTTGGAATTTTAATTTTCAGTGATATTTTTATATAATATGGAGCGTTAGAGGTGTGTGATTTGTTAATATCGTTGTTTTTATTGCGTACCTTTACTTGGGTATTACTTTATTGAAATTTTGTCCAATTCTGAATCCTATTTTATATAGGGATATGCTTGATAGGGGAGTGGTGATTCTAGGTTTATGCTACGTTCATGTCTGTTATCCAATCCTAGGTGCTAGTTCCATGCGGGGATATTTGCTCGGCGTTAGTGCATATAGGTGGTAGTAGTTGTCTGAGGGAGGGTGTTTAGCTATTTCGAGGTTGGTTACTTGTCGGTTCCCATTTTATGTGCTCATAAGTCAGCTGTCAGTTGCGAATGATCAGTCGTGTATGTAAGAAAGAAAGAGGAGAAAATATGTATCCCTTCCGTCAACGTTTTCCTCGGCGAAGGTACTTCCGACCGGTGCCGGCGATAATAGTAAGTATATGTCAGGGTGTTGCATGCATGGATGTAAGCTCAATTGGATGCACATTAGGATATTTGGTTATACTACTAAGGTATGTTACTACAGTGCTTCTGCAATGGGGATGTGACCTTGAAGACAAATATTCAGATTCCCGGTCTGCTGTCTATCCGCGAAATGACGGAGGTGCGTTGGAAAAGGAGATGGAGGAGGAGAGAGGCAGCCGACTTTTGGCTATATGGTGGTTTGGATATGAGCCCTGACCCTGATGCCTACGGTCTTAAAAATTTGTTCGGGTAAATAAAACTTATCCCGATAAGAAAAATAAGAAACATTTTTAATTGGTAATTATTTTGTTCGTTACAGGGAGCGAGCATAATGCCAAGATCGACACGTATAGGTGTTATGCGTTAATATTGTAATGCCTGTACAAGGATTTTTATACAGTATAATTATTTTCAATTAAATTTGCGTTACTACTTGTTATACTCCCTCCCTTCTTTCTCCCTTTTCTAAAATTTTTCCTATTTTCTCTAGGGTTATTAGATAGTTTTTGAAAGCAAAGTATTAGTAAGAAAGAGGTGAGTAAAAGGTGTTAGTTATTTACGGTGAGGAGATATGAATAACGATCTCTGCTTGGATTAGTCATGGTATAGGAATGCACGGTTTATCTTATCGAGGAGATAGCGAGAAAGGTGGTGGAGTAGTCCATGGCTTGCGTTACACGGTGGAGGTTGATTTTGTCTATTCGTTTAAGTTTTTAGTAGCAGGAATTTGTCAATTACTGTTACTGATGACTTATCTTAATGGGGAATTAATTATTAGTGTATATATATCTATTGTGTGGGTGATCATGTGAAAAAGCGATTGAAGTATTAGTAATAACATCAAGAACAAGGTAACTATGGTGGTTATGTCGGTCTGGAGGTTATTGCTCGGGGATTCTTTGTGCGCAAACAATAATCTTTTAAATTAATATTTTTCAGCAACAACTTTGATCGAGTCGGTAAGGAGGAGCGCGAGTGGGTACGCTCGGTGGCCGCGAGACGACGGTGGCGCGACATGCCTTAAGGCTACCGCGGTGTACTGCTTTAGGGACTATGAATGAGTTTGTTACGCTTTTTGTTGCACAGGTGGGTTTAAACCTTTAAAATTTTAGTGTATCGCGGTTATTAATCATTATTTTATCCTTATTTGCTTTTCGTCGACAGGTTTAAGCATAGGTCTGCCAAGCTAGTAATATACTAGGATTTGACGTTAATAAATTGTATTATAACAATGGCTTATTAGGTAAGATGGTAAGTGGTTAAATTAAGTCTCTGTACTTAATAGCTATGGTACAATTAGGTATATATATATATATATATCATTAGTCATCCATTAAATATATTGAAAATGAAGCTGTAAATTATATATGACTTATTACTGTCTTCCAGGCCTTCCTGCAATTGTTTGGCAGTTTAGAAGGTCGCCATCAAATATTTTTAAAGAAATGAATTATTAGGTCAGATGTATATATATGTATATATCATAGATGAAGTGTATTATTTCATATAATAGGATACAATATACTGGTTATATATATATATATATATATATATATAAGAAAAGGTATAACGAAATCGAGATATTATATAAAAATATCGGTTATATAGGGTGTTAAATAAGTGAGTGTGGTGCAATTTCAAAAGTGTAGTTATGTACGTATACTATATGCGCATAAGTGCGTCATTGGAGAGAGTAGGGTATTAAAATATTATTGTTACAGGTTCCGACGAATATAGAAGGCGCTTGAGATGTAGGATACAGATAGCTCGTGACCTGTTGGTTAGCCAAAAACAGTGACAAAGAAAGGTGCGTGCCTGACGACCTTGTTTCTTTTCTTGATTCAGTTATCCATTAAGTGAATATCTTTACGGCAATTAGATTTTGGAAGAAAAATTTCCTTCTTTATGCCTCGGAATAGCGGGATGTTACACTAGAGACGATCACAGTGCCATTGGAAGATGTGCTGGACGAACTTACCAAAGAGAATAAGATAAGATGGCTTTGGTGATGTACGATTTACTTTATCAACGGCATCCGAACAAAGAATTAGCTCGTGCATACCGATCATATTCGATGAAATATTGAAAAACTCCAAGTGCGCTCTTGACACCTCGGTCATCGTTGTCGAATTCATCGTCGTCGTCGTCGTCGTCATCGTCAACTTTTACTGCCGCACATTTTATCGACGTATTTAAGCATGGCTAATCCGTATCAGTCGTCTACCTCGCAGTGGCAGCTGCCGGTCGCTGAGCCGTTGCAAGATCGACTCTCGGCGGTGTTAACTGAACAGCTACCGCCGCAATTATCACAAGTGCCACTTGAGCAACTGCCGCCGCAATCGTCAAAAATGCCACCGCCATCATTGTTCATATTGCTTGAACGATTAACAGAAACGATAATAAATAAAAACGATGCTACGACGGTCAAGACAACAGTGACTGGTGTATCACCGCAACTGATCGACCATAATGGGAGAATCTCTTCCGTTCGTAAACGAAAGGTTAAGCCGGTCGTCAAGAAGCAATCACACACGAAGCAACTACGAGCGAAGCAATCGTGCAAGATGGCTATGTCGAAAAAGATTATGTCCAAATCGAGAAACAAAGGAAAAATGGCTAAACGAGCATCGTCATCGTCGTCGTCGTCGTCGTCGTCGTCGTCGTCTACGTCGTCGTCGTCGTCGTCACGAACCGTCGAGTTGGCGAAGGAGATCGCTGGCGAACGCACGCTGAGGAAGAGAGAATTGTCGGAAGCGTTCGAGGTCGAGCATCAGGATGACGTCGTCCGATCGCAAACTGAACGACAGAAAAAACATCAGAGACGCGGTGAAACTCTGGACGATATGCCACTCGCGGATCGTTGGAACCGGCGACCAAAGTTGCCCACAGCGTTCAAATTCTTTCTGAGCTCGATAATAGTCAAGGCAATGTCCGATCTACCCGCATATTTGAGGCCGCCGACAGTGACGTTGGCTGCCAGCAAGGCGTGGATGCGAGCGATCGAGCGCATGATTGAAATGGTTAACAAACGGATGACATGTATTTCTGAAAAGAAACGAACGTGGGAACAGGTTTCGACCGTCGGTCGACGATTATTGTTCGACAAGTATAAATTGCTAATGTTTCTGTACAAATTGCTTCGGTCGGCTCGGTTTGACGTGAAGGCGCTCGGTCGTCTGATCAATGACCCACCACGACCGATATATGGCGGTGCGCTATTGGGCAGTTCCGTGATCGAACGCGTCATTCATTGCATCTTGTCGCGCTTGCAGCGGATTAATCTAGAATTATAATTCAACGTTGTAACGTTTTCGCCAAAAGCGCGCGATATATTGCGCATTATCGCCGACCAATTGGGAATACGTATATTGAAACGCGTCCAGTATAACAATTTCGGCGAGCGTATCAGCGAGGAAAAACTCATGACTCCAGCACTGTCATCACGTTACAACACGCTCAACGATGCGCAGGTGTCAGTTGATCCGTTGTACCATCCTACATTCCTGAAAGATTGCGCGAGCAGCGGCAGCAACGAGATATCGCGGCTACACATTCGAGAAGATGCCGCGTCGCGAAAGAATCGATTGCCGTACTCGCCGACGACGTTTTCGCACTTGATCGTTTCTAATCATATCTCTTCGGTGAAGAACAACGCGGCGTGTTTGAATGCGTTCAACGCTCAAGTGTTTTACGCTCTCGCCAATATTGTGCAGTACGCGGTATCGCATCGACGCGATTTGATGCGACCTTCGGGCAAGATAAATATCAATCTGAACGAGAAGGAAATTTCGAACGCGAGCGAATTATTGTACGACGTACGTGTCGTGCTCGATGATGTGCACACTCGCGTGCTGGTGCCAAAGCCCGAACGTTTATTTCAACACGTAGTCGTTGATCTAAATATAGTACACGCTCAGTTGAATCGAATGCTACTATCGGTGTTCCCTAGCGGCTTTGTCGGCATCAGGCATCAGTCGCCCAACAACGATAATCTAACGACGACGTCGACGGGTCATCAGTCGTCGGCGAACTCGCGAGTAGAAGTGAGAAGAGAGAAACTCGAAAAGGAAGTTGATCTTCCGCCACAGTCAACGCCAGAGTCACGAGTGCAAAGTGCCAAAGTGAAAAGAGATCGGTAGCTCGTGCCGGCTCGTGCCGGAGCCAAGAGTCCAGCCTGCGTCGAGTCTGCGGCGATGATGAGAAAGAAAAGGACTGTAAAAAAGAAGAAGTGCTCTGGATGTAGCGATTGCTGCTGATGCACAATCGTCATCACAGCCCTTTTGTTTGTAGCCCAACCACTTTACCACAGCGTTTATTTACCAATCTTACTACAATCTTTACGCTCGCGCTCATGTAGATCTTTTCGACGGATTTCGATGGATGAGCACTGATGACTTGACAATAGAAAGCAGCTGTCTGTCAACAATTTGCTGCCGCTGCAAAAAAGTAACAAGATGTTGCGCTGTGACGACGACATAACAATCCAGGAATATTCTTCCTGCGGTGACGTGGGTTCTCTCGCTGACGCATCGCTCCCTGTGATGACTAATGAACGGGTGTTGTGTACATTAGCGGCATACAAACGCAAACAGTGGCAAACTACCGTCGCAACTGTGGCAACTCCACCGCCACCGTGGCAGCGTCGCAAGTCTCGATTACACGCGAATCTCGAGCGAAAAGAACCGGACGATAAAGGCAGGCAAGAACAGCGTTGTCGTCGTCGCTTGTCATTTGACGACAACGAAGGCAACGCTACGCAACGCGGTGATCCTTGGATCTTGCAGGCGATCGATGCTGCCCCGATCAATACTCAACAACTCGACCGACTTTCTAGCCAAGAGGCACGCTCGTGGTTTGCAGACTCGAGCATCGAAGGCGGAACCGGTGTCAATTGCGCGACCGAAGCGCTCGGGTGTTTCGTGCACACCACCGCGAACAACGATGCATCCGCTATTGCTGCTGCTCCTGCTGCCGCTGCTCCTGCTGCCGCTACTGCTGCTCATACTGCTGTTGCTGCTGATGCTGCGGCTCCTGCTGCTGCTGATGATGCTGCTCCTGCTGCTGCTCCTGCTGCTGCTGCTGCTGCTGCTGCTAAAGCAAACTTGGATAACTTGGCTGCGATGGCGGTGCTACCTCCGTACGAGTACTGCAGCGCGTCCATGTTTAATCAGGCGGCAGTTGGCAAACGAGTAGACGATCTCGTCACGGAAAAGGGCGGGACCGTAAAAAATATCTTACAATTGAGCAAAAGTTTTGTGCATTATTTGACAACGTATCCATTGCGCAACACACTCAGAGGTTACATACAAATCGCGCCATACCTGTCTCCGAGCCACATCGCACTACCGTCTATACACGCAGAGCGAATATTTTCGATCGATCGTGAGCGTGACAATCGTGCGGGTGTATTGCGCTTCAAACCGCCGA